GCTAAGTCGGCTGACACTTACAGCCTCATCCACCGGCTGACACCTGAACCATCCTCCAGTAAGAAGTCGTGGTACAGTTACGAGAAGGTGAGCCCCGATCAAGCTGGTTCACAACTGTACTGCAAGTATTGTAGACTCTATGGACATACCATAGACAAGTGTGGTAAGTCTCAATACAAGGGAACCACTGACCAACAACGACCCAAACCAACTCCTCCTAAGTCCGGTAAGCCTGTGATGAATGTTGGTGTTGATGTTAATGATCTTTCTCTTTTCAGTAACCACCTGTATACTGGAACTGTCTCTGCCAACGGTTCAAATCCGGAGGGACGTTTCAAATTGAAGATCTTGAGGGACACAGCGGCTCTACAATCGATCATCTTGAAGTCGGCTGTGCCCAACATAGTCTACACCGGGGAAACAGTCTTCATCACTGACCTCACTGCTACCACTCCATACCCTCTCGCCAGAGTCCACCTGGATTGTCCCTACGTGAACGGGGAAGTCCAAGTCGCCGTCAGGGAAAAGCCTTTTCCCATGCCTGGAGTGCAACTTCTCCTAGGCAACGACTTGGCAGAAGACCTGCAACCGACCAACCTGATCGTCATGGACAAACCCCAGGTGTGTAACTCTGTGCCAAGTAACCCTATTCTTGAGTATGTTCCAGCAGAGGTTCAAGAGAGTGATGAAGTTTCTCCTCCGGTTCTCGTGACCACCCGTGCACAAGCCGCACGTCCACAGCCAGCTGACTCTACTGCTACCGCTGTCCCTCAAGACCCTCAGAAACTACCCCCGCATCTGACCAAGTTGGAGTTCCGTAAGTTGCAGAGGGAAGATCTTACTTTAACACCATTGTTTTTCCAGGCTGAGACTCAACCCGACAGTATTCCTGGGTTCTTCCTAGAGAACGACTTGCTCTACCGCAGATATAGACCCAGTAAACTGAAGGAGGAGGACGATTGGGCCAACACCGAACAACTTGTGATTCCCACCAGCCTGCGGCCCACTATTCTACACCTGGCCCATGGAGCATTCTCCCACTACGGCTTCAACAAGACTTACCATGGGATTCGTCAAGACTACTACTGGCCAGGTATGGTAAATAACGTCAAACAGTACGTAAAACAGTGTCATACATGTCAGATGGCAGGCAAACCGAACGTCTCCATTCCCAGAGCACCACTGATTCCCATACAGGTGCCTGCGGAACCTTTCCACAGACTCATAATAGACTGTGTTGGTCCTTTACCTCGGACCAGTTCAGGTAACGCCTACATCCTAACCATCCTGTGTCCTACCACCAGATTTCCCATAGCAGTTCCAGTGAAGAACATCACGGCTGCTACGGTTATCAAACATCTATTGAAGATCTTCACTCAATACGGATTTCCCAGGGAGATTCAAAGTGACTGTGGCACCAACTTCACCAGTGATCTCTTCAAAAGGACACTGGAGGAGTTCAACATCAAACAGGTATTGTCCAGCCCCTATCATCCTGCTTCACAGGGTTCTCTTGAACGTAGTCATCAGACCATCAAAGCACTCTTGAAAAAGTTTTGTAGTGAAACCTCAAAGGATTGGGATAAGCAGATTGACCTAATAATGTGTATTTTCAGAAGTCTCCCCAATGAGTCCCTAGGAGTATCTCCTTATGAGATGCTCTACGGCCGTAAGTGCCGTACTCCCCTTAAGGCTTTCAAAGACTCTCTCAGAGATGCCACCTTCAGTGAGCATCAGAATGTGCCCCAGTTTCTTCAAAACCTTCAACACATTCTAGAGAGAGTCCACCGCTTTGCTCATGATAATCTATTGAAAGCCCAGGTGAGAATGAAGACTCATTACGACCAGACCAGCAAAGTAAGAAAATTCAAGCCGGGAGACTTCGTCCTTGCTTATTTCCCTATCCCAGGTTCACCTTTACAAAACAGATTTTCAGGACCCTACTGCGTCAAAGAGTGCAGGAATAATAATAATTATGTGATAGAGACTCCAGATAGGCGGCGGAAGACCCAGCTGTGCCACGTCAACCTCCTGAAGCAATATAATGGTACTCCTCCCACTGTCTTGACTAATTATTCCACATTCACAGAACCCTACATCCACAGTGAGACCTTCCCAGCTTCTCCTCCCGAAAGCACTGACAAGGAGTCAGCGCTTTCTAATTCCGAAATCCTTAATGATCTTCCCAAATACTTTCAGGATAATCATAGTGCACCTCTCGTCAAGATCTTCAGAGAACATCAAGAGTTGTTCAGAGATGATCCCCAAGAGTGTAATGTTACCCAGCACGACATCCAACTGCTCCCCGACACCCGGCCGATTCGTCAACCCTTCTACCGAATCAGCCCGAGCAAGAAGGAAGTCATGCGTGCTGAGGTGCAATACCTCTTGGATCATGGACTGGCTACACCTTGTGAGTCCCCCTGGGCCTCACCTTGTATCTTGGTGCCCAAACCCCAAGGTAAGGTGCGGTTGTGCACTGACTATCGAAAACTGAACTCTGTCACTGTCAAGGATGCTTACCCCTTGCCAAGGATAGATGACATCCTTGATGCCATTGGTAGTGCCCAGTACTTGTCCCAAGTGGACTTGCTTAAGGGGTACTATCAAGTGTGTCTAACGGAGCGCGCTAAAGAGATATCTGCCTTCATCACTCCTTTTGGACTTTTCAGATATGAACGCCTTCCTTTCGGACTATGTAATGCCCCGGCCACCTTTCAAAGAGCTGTCAACCGTGTCATCCAGGGCTTGGATAACACATACGCCTACCTGGACGATATCGTCGTAGCCTCCAACTCCTGGAGTGAACATCTGCTCCAGCTGCGACGTCTGTTCTCCAAGCTCCTGACAGCCGGCCTCACCATCAACCTGGGCAAGTCCACTTTCGCGAAAGGTAAAGTGCGTTATCTGGGTCATGTTATTGGGAGTGGCAGCATAGCTCCGTTAGACTCACACACTCAAGCCATCCTACAGTATCCACAGCCTACCACCAGGAAGCAGCTCCTGCGCTTCCTTGGTCTTGCCTCTTACTACCGTAGGTTTGTGAGGAATTTCAGTACAGTCGCCACACCTCTAATTCTATTAACCAGTCCCAAGCAACGGTATAATTGGACCATGCAGCAAACCGTTGCTTTCGAACAACTCAAATTCCTCCTCTGTTCTAACCCCATTCTCGCCTCTCCAGATATCACCAAGCCTTTCGTCCTTCATGTCGACGCCAGTGGTACCGGCGTTGGTGGTGTCCTGATGCAACTACGAGGCGAGGAGGTTCTACCTGTCAGCTACTACAGCTACAAACTGAAACCACACCAGAGGAACTACAGCACTATTGAAAAGGAGCTACTATCCATCGTCCTGAACCTCCAACACTTCGCTCCGTACCTACAAGGCGCCAGGTCTACCACCATCTTCTCAGACCACAACCCTCTCCGCTTCCTACATCAAGCCCAATTCACCAACCAGCGTCTTCTACGATGGGCTCTGTATTTACAAGACTTCAACCTGGAGATCCGCTATATCAAGGGTTCTGACAACACCATAGCCGATGCCCTCTCCAGAGTTTATGAAGTAGAAGCGACTCCATCCATTACTCCACCACATAACGACGTACTTCTTCCAGAACCGCAGGCTTCGGGGGAGAGTTGTGACGATAATCTCCTTCAAGAGATTGAGCCTGCTCTTCCCTCCAAAATTACGTCTTCACAATTATATAAAAAGACTATGGAAGAAATGTCCAACAACGACACCAGCACCAGCAAGGCTTGCCAGGGTGAGCAGAAACGTATGCAACCAGCCACCTGTTCGAACTCCAACCACCAAACTACCCGTTGATCGCTACGGCTCCGCTGATTGGTCGCCGGTCTGGCTGCACCTGCACTCGCCCCCCAATACTACCTGATGTCTGGGGTCGCCCCAACATCAGTCTTCAGAATGTTCCGTGCTTTCGTAGCCAGCACTCCTCCCAGCTAGACGTTAGCGTGTACTGAGAGAGGTGGTGGCTTTAAGCCAATATTCCAGCACCTCCCACTTAACTTTTGTGTTGCACTTCTTATTATTTTGCCTTAACGTAACTTTTCATTGTGTCATTTAAGTATTCTTATTATTTTGATTCATTGATTTTATTATACATATTTGTTTGTGCATTATTTTCATGTTTTGATTTATTTAACGTAATTAAAATTTCATTGTTAAAGTTTTACTTGTGTTTTGTGTGTCTTCTCCTTACCTTACCACAGACGAAGTTCCAGTTTTTCTATTTTTTTTTATAACTATGTGACGAGGCCATACCCCTAGCCTTAAACAGCCGAACACCAACGCGTTACCGTCACAGATATATATATATATATATATATATATATATATATATATATTTATCTCTATGTCGATAGAGGACAGAAGAAAATCTGTTGGGGAGGGAGGGGGGGAGCCTATTGCACGTTACGCCAAATTAGTATAGAAAACCAATTATTAAAACTAATACTGTATTTATATAAATACAAATAGGGAGGAGAGCGACATTACCCGTGAACCTGACCGATAGCAGGAGGTGCATCGTAGTGGCAGAGATTTGAGAAGAACGGCGAGGAAGAAAAACTGGTTCCTGATAAGATGGTAGAGATGGGGGTGGAGCCCTGTGAGAGGTTGGGGGATGAGGCTCCTGAAGGAATGTACACCAGTGAATTAGGAGGAAAGAGGAGAGGAGGATTTCTGTGACTGTGATCTCATCTGCCTTCAGTCTAACCTATGATCTTCAGCCTCTCTGTCGCTCCTTCTTGTTTGCTTGTATGAGTGATCCATCCACCCCCTTCCCCTCCTTAGGATGCAACCTCATCAGTTGCCTAACTCTCAGGTACCCATTTACCGCTAGGTGAACATTGGTATCAGGTGAAAGGAAAGGTTGCCCAAACTCTTCTGTTCTGCTGCGGATGTGACCCGACTGTACTTTTACCTAAATGCTCTTTTTTTATCCCCAATTAAATTGTTTTGGTTCTGGTTTGTAGGAAGAGCGACTTTGTGGCAGCTGTGTGTTTTCCTGCGACTGTGTTGATGTGCGTCCACGTGCTCCTGCTGGGCCCCCACACCCTCACTCCTGCAGCCTCCCCGCCCTACACCGGTCAGTCACGCCCACACTGTAGGCTCACAGTATGTAGGTGAGCCACGCCCACACTGTAGACCAGGCTCACAGTACACAGGTGAGCCACGCCCACACTGTAGACCAGGCTCACAGTACACAGGTGAGCCACGCCCACACTGTAGACCAGGCTCACAGTATACAGGTGAGCCACGCCAGGTGTAAACTCTGTGAGCAGGAACTGGTTTACAGTATTGAATGCCCAGTCATTAAACCCTTTAAAACCCGCGGCATGAGGTACCCGGGGCCTTGCTATCACTTTGTTAACCCCTCTTGTTGTTGATGATATCCTCATAATGCACCCAGAGTTTGCCAGTGCAGACTACTGATCACGGCCGTGCGTGACTAACCATCCTGTGTGATGGGGATTTGTTTACCATCAAACTATTTACCCCCTTCATATTGTCTAGGACATGTTGTGTTAATGAGAGAGAGAGAGAGAGAGAGAGAGAGAGAGAGAGAGAGAGAGAGAGAGAGAGAGAGAGAGAGAATGTTTGAAGGGAAGGATGGAGAGTGGGGCAGAAAAATGGAAAGGGGGCAAGAGAGGTGGGGGAGGTAAGGGAAGGGAGATTGTGAGAGAGTGGAGAGGTATGAGGAGGCAGAAAGTGGGATGTTGGGGAGAAAGATGGAGAGGAAGAGAATAGGCGAGGTTAGGAGAGAGTGAAGAAGGAAGGAGAGGAATGAGAGAAGAGGGAAAACCTTGGGGAAGGAAGTTTGAGAGAGTGGGATAGAAAAATGAGAGGAGGGGGATTGGGAGTGAATGGGGAAAGGGGAGAGAGAGGCAGATTACATTTACAATGCTGCAGCATTTGTTCCCTTCCTCCCCTTGCCACTTCGAGGGGTGTAGGGTTCTTATATAGCTTCAGGGCAAAGTTAAGGCTGATGTTTGAGCATCTACATAATGCTCTGTCTCTCCTACAGATGGCCATGAGCGGTATTGGGCACTGCAGATGAGGGTTGGTTCCGTGCGTGTGGATCCTCCACTTAATAGTACAGGGAAGAGCAATGGGGAGGTCCTGCTGGTGACGCCGCTTCTCCGCTGTGGTTCCACTACCCTCAAGAACCTTCTAGCTCGCCTAGCCCTCTTCAACGGGTTCACCATGGCAGCGAGCCCCCCTAGGAAGTCAGAAGTCGTCCATATTCCCAGTCTAGCTGTTCAGGTGAATGCTGACCCAGGAAAGTGCTGGTTCAGATGCAGAGTTCTTGGTGAAAATTTGGCAAGATGAGAAAGGGATGTTCTAGGTGAGATTTAGTCAGGACTAGACCTGGTCCAGGAGGGCCATGGTTCTAGTGAGGTTGGAAATGGTGGAAGCTGTTCCAAGTGGAGGCAAGTGTATGAGGGGTGTATCTAAGTATGGGGAAGCCAATATTGTGTGTGTTCTAGGTGATATAGGCGAGGCCTGATTTTATGTGAGGTCTAGACATAGCTGCAGCATACGCACAGTATAAATTAAATTTAAATTTAAGCATAACTGAAAAAAAACCGACTGACACATTATTTTCTTTGTTCTCTTCCCCTTTCCTAACTTCCTCCCCAACTCCTCTCATGTTGACAGAGGGATGTCGTAAAGAACATCTCGGCCTTCACCAATGCAACAGCCATCATGCAGTCCTTTGCGTACACCAATTTCAGCAGGTCAGTATACTGTATATCATAGCACAATCTCAGTAAAAGAATATTTTATAGGCTTTCACACTGGTTTACGTTCTTGTGAAAGACTCTCTGTATTGACTTCGAACTTACACCACTTTAAGTGGCCACGGGTGCCCACCTATGAAGAACAGGTGTCCACCTTTGAGGATCGTGTACCCTCATTTGAGGAGTGGTTGCCCACCTTTGGACTATGCTATATATTATAGCGTAATCCCATGTCGTGGTGACTTTATTGTTACTACTGAAATGTAAATATAATGTACAGTATTGGGTAATTTTTAGCGTTTTGTTTCTAATGACTTGATTGTGCTGACTTTTGGGTAATAACTTAATTTGAGACTTGCGATATATATATTGTATACATTATTCAAAGATATACTTATCTTTAAATTAGTACATGTTGTACCCTTGCTAAGGTTAAAATTAATAATTTGCTGTGCTTAGTTTAATTATATTACTTCCAGAGCTGTGGACTTGCAGATTTTCCTATGTACAGATGTAAATAAATGGCCCACATAGATACTGGAGACAAAAGTAGAACAAGATGAATGAAATACTCCCATTAGCTATATAATTCACCAAGTTCTTTTTTTTTAATCGCAACAGATTCGAGAAGAAGAAGCCTATTTTGGTGAGTTTGGTGCGTGAGCCAGTGGAGCGAGCTGTCAGCTGGTATTATCATGTGAGGGCCCCCTTCCAGCTGGTTGAGCGACATGGCCTCTTTCCTGATATTAAATTTCCTACAAGAAAGTTCCTGAAGAAGGTAACAAAATTCTAGTGACTGGAGTGTTGGAAGCTTGAAAGTTAATACAACGCTCTTAAGGCCAGTACTTCGGGAAGGTTCTTGAGGTTCCCAGTTAAAAAAAAAAAACTTGTTCAGGAATGGATATTGAAGGAGGTAGTCCTAGGGTTGGTCATAGATTCTCAGTAATAGTAATTTGTTCTAGAAACTAACACTAGGAGGACCTGTAAGGTAAGCAATCTCTTTGGTGCTAAAGGAGAAGGACCACCTTCCATACCCTTCACCACCTTCCATACCCTTCACCACCTTCCATATCCTTTAATACCTTCCACACCCTTCTCTACCTTCCATACCCTTCTCCATTTTCTCGACTTATGTCATTTTGCATTTGTATTTGCATTCTGAATTATATTTAGCATCTTGTAACTGTTCTGTGACACCTGCTAATAGTCTTCTAGGCTTGGTGGCTTCTTACGATAATTACTTACTCCTGCCAAACGCCTCTTTACTACTCCCTAGAAATAAAGTTGCCTGCACTCCAATAAACTCCCTCCCTTTCCACAAAAAAGTCATGTGAAGGGTTTAAGCAAATTTCACCTTCTCTTGATAGCTCCCTTATATATCCTTTCCCGGAGGGTACATTTCTCTAATGAAAAACGCTAGATGACGAGGTTGTAGCACCATTAACCTCCTCCCAGTCTCACTTTTCGCTTTCTCTTTCTAATGAAATGCTCCGGATTAGGCTCTCAACCCACAAATCTGAAAATGAAGAACTGACGACGTTTCTGTCCATCCAAGACCATTATCAGGTCGTATAATGACTTGTAATGGTCCAGGAGGAACCGAAATGCCGTCAATTCTTCATTTTCAGATTTGTGGGTTGGGTGTCAAATCTTCAGCCACGCATCGTGACGCATCGTCTGCATGAGATGCTCCTCCCAGACATTAAGACATCTCGGTGTTTACTGCAGGATCTGGAGTCGTGCCTGAAGAACCCTCGAGACACTGAATGCCGATATATTTCCGGTAAAAAGATGCTGGGACACACCATAGAGTTCTTCTGTGGACATGATCCTTACTGCCCGTGAGTGTCCTAAAATATTCTTAGTGTCCTATTGTTTTAGTGTTAAATCTACACCGTGTCCTTAAAATATTATGTAGGGTAGTGGCCGAGGATTCACCGGGACCGACAACTCCCAGCGGGTAACTAATCTGCATGTTAGGTTGACCATCTTCTTGATTTTTTACCTTATAAAGACAAAAAAATTCCCTACTACATATTGAGTTTTTTTTATCAGGTCAATAAAGGATCAGGTTATCATCGCTAATCCAGGACGAAGTCACCTGACCGTGGCAATAATTCACGACCAGCCTCTACAAAAATAACTTTATTTATTCAAAAGGGCAAGACCTGGGCAAGACCTGGCTGAAATAATAATAATAATGATTTATGCCCGAAACGCTTTGCGTAATAGTGGCTTTGCATGTACTAGAGTCAACCAATCTTTGTAAAAATTTAATGTATGTACCTTACCTAAATGATGTATTTGTAAACTTTCCTATTTTGTTCTAGCAGTAGCCTTTAATTAAGGTGTACTGCTCCTACCGCTCCCCTTCTTCAAACACACCCTTTCCCTTCTGCAGATACTGCCCCATCACTCAATATTAAAAAATCTACCCCCCACCAAAATGTTGAAAAGTGATGCTTGCTCTCATCTCTCTTTTTTTCTACTAGGATATTTGGTGATAAGCAGGGTCTCCAGCAGGCCAAGACGGTGGTGGAGAGAGAGTTTGCGGTGGTGGGAGTGTTGGAGGAGTGGGACAAGACGCTGGCTGTGTTGGAACACTACATTCCTCGCTACTTCAACAAGGCTACTGAAATCTACTACAGTAAGTTCAAATGAAGTATGTGCGTGAGGGGAGGTTCTTGGCAGGGAGGCTAGTCTTCAAATAATGAGGGGGAGGAGGTCTCCACGTAGTAATGATAGTTTTCAGGTAGTGAGATGTATATCTCACATTGATGTATATGATGTATTTCATTGATGTATATAACAAAAAGGCTTGGACCCAAAAGGGACCCCTGTGGCACCCCACTTAGCACATTTCCCCAGTCAGATTCATTCTCATTTAGCACGACCCTTTGTTTTCTTTGTTTTAACCATTGTTTTAAACATTCCAATAGTCTCCCATTTATTCCGTGTGCCTGTAATTTCCTTGCCAGTCTTTCATGTGGTACCTTGTCAAAAGCTTTAGCAAAGTCCATATAAACTACATTACCGGAAGTCCTTTGTCTGAATAGCCGGTTACCGTTTCCAGAAATGTGAGCAGATTTGTAAGGCATGATCTATTTATAATCAATATATCTGATCTATTATGCAATATAGTTTACCTAAATGCAGTATTAAATCACATTTACCTCGTCCCTACATAATACCACAGACCCTTGTGCTACTAACTTACCTTTACTATCTTAACTACTAATTCCATTATGCTCACTGGTCAATGGGTAGCTTAATTAATTTTTGAATTATTACATAGTAAGAGCCAGGCATTAAGTACAAAATAATTTATGGGACTTTATAGATGTAAGATGTGGCTATATATAATACTGGATGGCTGTGGAAGAATTTAATGAAGTAAAACCCTGAATAGACCCGATGAGCTGCCATGGGTGTATCTAAAGTGTAAAATATAATCAGGCGTAAAAATGCAGATGGACCGCGCAGAGCACGGAGCAGAGAAGTAATTATCATGAATGCACCAAACCGGGAAGACTCATGTAGCACTGTCGGAATCGTGGGATATATTAAAAATAAGTTAAAGGTCATTCAAAATGTCAGTTCGAGAACAAAAGAATATAAGGCGAGCAGCATCAAAGGTATTGATTCATCAAGGATCTCGTCAAGGATTTCATTCACGATGTAACAGTCACATGTAACACGAACAAGGAACAGTGGTTTTGAGCTCAACAAGTCACAATGTAGGACAGAAAACAGGAGGTGCTGTTCACCCGCAGGGTTATAAACCCATGGAACCCCGTACCCGCTGAAGCCGTAAATGCCAAAACATTGCTGCAGTTCAAAATCAGTCTAGATAAAAATCATCAGGGAAAATGGTGCGGGGGGACGTTTGACAAGACGCTAGCTTCCTGTTCTCGTCGAGATCACTAGAGAGGTAGAGGTAAATTCAGGTAATTTACTACTGTAACAAGCTCTAATGTATTGTATTAGACAAATAACAATTATCTTTATTATATTTTACTAGAATCATCCGAATTAAATTCGTAATTCAACCGTCCCAATACTTAGAATATTATCAAGGTATAAATATTACTGGTAAATGTAGGATCTACAAAACATTAATTACGTCTTCCCAGACCTCCCTATCTCCTCCATATTAAAACCTCCAATAAAACCTCTTTCTTTCTCCAGATGAGCTTCACGGCAACAAAAGGTTGATGAACGAGAACTTCTACAAGCCCAAGGTGGAACAGGCAGCGAAGGACTTCTTGAGAAGGAACTTCACTATTGAGGCAGAGTTCTATGCCTTTGTCCGACAACGTCTCCTTCGGCAGCACAGTGCCATCAGCGGTAGTACAATGAGTATGCCATCAACAACAGCACAGAGCTAATAGCAGCAATGCATCAATGGCAGTGCATCGCCATCAGCTGCAGTACAGCACCAAAGTGGCAGTGCATCGCCATGAACTGTATATTTAATATTTGGGAAGGGATCATCTCCTTCACGCCTCCGACACCATTTCTTCATGTAACCGGACTGAGAAATCCATTTTCTTAATCTCTGTAAGAGAGAAATTAAGATTTGTTTTGGTATAGGCCAACTGGCATTGCATCATCGCGCTAAGCTACATGTCAAGGCTGGTAATCTGCTCAGAGAAACCATTTGGGACCAATAAACCTTCAGTGAGGATGTTAAACACTTCATTGACACGGAGGAAATCTGGAATTGTCTGCATTTTATGGGCAAGAAACACGTTAACATACTGTGTATTCTTTCTAGGTTAAAAAATTTAGATATTATTTAATATTAATTAAATCAAGAATTTTGTTTCGTATAATGAAATTACTTTATAATACTGTATTCCTTATGATTTAAGACAATAATGAATGGTATATCATATGAAATAAATGGTAAACTACAACTCGAATGGTCGTATACTACATAGGTTTACCTTTATTAGAGCCACCACTTGGGGTACTCTACTACTTGTATCAGCTGTGAAAACCGAGTGACACTGAATCAGACAATACTAAATGTTGATGTGACGGTAATCAAGTAGCAGAACGTATTCAATACAGAATCACAAAGGAATATGATCTCAACAACACGTGGTACACCGAACTGTTTCATCAAGATTTAGCCAACACTCCAATATTTATAGCTGTACTATAGCTATACATCAGGTGGAGCATCATCTTCTTAATGCATGAACACAGTACATGTATACGTAAGTTCTGCATGGTCGGAGAACACCATCTTAACACAGATCATTTTCGACCACTTAATAAGAAGGGAACACGCTGGGTTGTTCATCCTGTCACTTGTATTACAAATACACTTGTCACTTGTCGCAAATATATAGTAAAGAGAATATTTATTTGTTATCAGTCTCTAAACTTAACTTACTATGAGACGACTACATATCAACTTCTTCTTGACTAGGCTTGGAGTAGGACTCTATCCATCTTTTCAATTTTGTCAAGTTATAATGGATTATCTGGGACTGATATTGCAGATGAAGCTACAAAAATAGTAATAGGAATGTAGGCATCAATATACCTTAGAATCTAGCTCAAAGATAATTTAGAATTAAACCAATGCTGACTACGTATAGTGACCCTAACGCAGCAGTTGCTTTATTTATTTATTTATTTATTTATTTATTTATTTATTTATTTATTTATTTATTTATTTATTTATATACAAGAAGGTACATTGGGTTTATGAGAGTACATAGCATTGATGGTTTTACATTCTTGTGAAGCCACTGTAACTTGCTTAGCTAAATGAATTGTGGGGTTCAGTCCCTGAGCCCATTAAGTGCCTCTGTAACCCTTTTCACTACCGCCCACAAGATGGGTATGGGGTGCATAATAAATGAACTAAACTGAACTAACCACTAACACGCATTAGCGTTTCGAGCAGACACAGGCATAGTGTATAAGTAATTAGAATTTCGTGTGTGATAATTGCTGATTTCAGCCATGTTGCCCCTTCCCCCTTTTTTGCGTTTTGAACTCAATTTATATTTTAATCTCAATTAGGATTAAGCTTTAGTCTAAGTGTTTTTTCCCCCACACCTTGCCCGAAACGCTGTGCGTATTAGTGGCTTTAGGTATTGTGTGTACTAGCTCTATAAATCCAACATTAATGTATGTATGTACTTTTACATGAATAAACATTTTGATTTTGATTTTGATATACTTGCTCTACCTCTAAATCCAACATTCTGCTTGTAACTCAATATGTATGTATGCAATTTTACCTAAATAAAAATGTATTTATTATATATACGCAGGGCCTTCAGTATTAACCTGTATTAAATAAATAAATGGATACGAAGGTTCCTGTATACAAAATAAACCATGAACGAAGTTGCCATATTTGTACGGAACAAAGGTATTCGAAACGCTCATGAACGATTTGACTTATCACATCGTACACAAGACGGTCCACCAATGGATTGCAAAACCTACCTAAGCTAACCTAACCTCACCCAAATTAACCTAACCCTACCCAAGCTAACCTCACCTCAACCAACAGAGCGAAACACAACCTAACCTAGCGATAAATACAGTTTTAACATTGAGAACAGAAGCGTAGTCGAATCGTCTGGTGGTGTACTTGCATGTGTGGGGCCAGAGGAGGAGGAGGACGCCAGCCATGGAGAACATCCCTAAGGACCTGAGGAACCTGCGGGCCTGTCTCGTGTGCTCCCTCGTCAAGGTGACCACTCACCCCACAAGTACCCTCACACAACTTAACACTCGGGTTACATAGACCAAAAACACCGGTCACCTTAATACTAAAACCCCGTGATTTGAAATTCACTTTCCGGTAGGCCTAGCTTATTTTCGGGTATATGTATGATATTTTTCAGGAAGGAGTTGTGGAATAGTTTAAGTTTTCAGGTCTCAAGGATAATTGAATGATACCCTAGAAATATTAGCATAAATTGGTAAGTAGTGAATGGCTTGGTGGTCTCTGGCTCTCGGGGTTTTATGGTAATAACAACTATTTATTTATACAAAAAACACGTAGGTATAATAATAATAATTCTTTTTGTCGGGAACAGACAGCTGGTGAATATATATATACATAGGCTTATATCGAGGTGTCCCACAAGGGGGAGCTACTGACCCTCTCCACGATGCAACCCCACGACACACTAACTCCCGGGTACCTATTTACTGCTGGGTGGACAGGGGCATCAGGTGATGGGTAATGCAACCACCAACCATTTCTGTCCTGCCCGGGATATAAACCTGGAATTCTCAATTGTGAGTTGAGCACGAACTCGACTGAACTACAGGGACCCTATGCTATATAAGTTTATGTATAGGTTCCGTATTTATATATTTTTGTGAAGCTACTGATCGCGGGCAATATTTTTGGTAAAATATGGTTAAAATGAGCTCGACAGTAATCTTTCTTTGTTATCGCTACTCGTTAAGCAAACCTGTTATCCTTACTTAACCTTGCCGTACCTAATGAAAATAAAATGCAATGGGTTTGTCGTCATCGGGTCGCCTCGGAATGTTTTTCTCGTACAGTACAATATTATTGCGGGTTGCAGGTAGGCCTCTTTAATGTAATTTACCTACTTCATTACCTTGCAGTAAATGTTAATTTTTCTTTACAAGTAAATTGAGGGTTCATAACAACTACTGTATTTTTGAAACTGGTTTTCTGAAGTGGTGGAAGAAGCAAGGGTGCTGCCGTGGATGTATTGAACTGTATTGCTAGAATACAACATTGTTGGCTTAATGTTGGCTTGTAGTGTGGACAATGAGATGAATGGATGTAGTTCAAGTCTCTCTTCTCTAATAAACCCAATGTATCTTGTACAGGTATATAAATAAATAAATAGTTATTTTCATATCATTATTCTATCATATATGTCATGAAAGGTTAAGGCAGATTTTAAATTTTGGTAATACAAAATGTTCCAATTAATACTTTTGTTATTGTTAGGGGTTTTTGTTATTATTTAATTTAAATTTTACAAAAATCTTGCCATACTAATTATCTGAGACAGAAAGTTGCAATATTTTTAATTTTAGACATTAGACAATATTTTTTATGGTAAAAAAAAAAATTGATGAAGTTTTGATAGCAAATTTTGTGTATACAAAATTATATAATACAGTATCTTAGAATTAAAGTGATTTTTATAGGTCCCATAGTGATAATGCTATTGAAACACTTTTTTGTCTTTAAAATTATATTTGGTAGACTTTGGAAATGTTCGAGACTGATGGCTGTGACAACTGCGATGAATTTTTACGCATGAAACAGAATCGTGACCAAGTGTATGACTGTACGTCTTCAAATTTTGATGGGTAAGTAGTCAGAAATGTAGTACAAAATACAGTACAATGCTGGATTATTAATCATAGATATTTCTGTACAGTATTAACCTTTGGAGTGTGGCATTAATTTAAGTACATCACTGTCAATTGTGCTCATTTTTTTTTCTACATTTTAATACTACTATAATTATCATTTTTTTTTTTGGGGGGGGGGGGGTGCAGCATTACCAAACATCTTTCAGATGAAGCTTGAGTTTTTTTATAATGTTTCTGTGAAAGGTAGGTAACCTTTTTGGTTACCTTTTGTTGTTTCCGAGGATCAACTTCCCCATAGCCTAGCCTTTAACCAGGACTCGCGGTTGGTGGTCTGGTCAACCAGACTGTTAGATGCTGCTTGCACCTTAATGTATGAATCACAGCCCAGTTGATCAGATATCCTTGTTCCCAATGGGTAAGGTAAATCATCCTATACCTAACGTGACAAAAATGTCTTGATGATGATGGAAAACTAGATTTTGAGTACAACCAAGGCACTGCCACAAAAACTGTATTTGATCTGTTTTAAGATAAGGCAACTGAATTACTTATGTTATTGTATCCTATAAAAAGGGCAGATAATCCAAATCTCAAAGTTATCTAAATTCTCTAATTACAAAATCTGATAAAGATTGTCTCTAATGATTCAGATAATCAAACATTCAATGTACAGCTATAAATGTTTCTGTTATAGTATATACGGTACTGTAGCTTTAGTAATACTGTACTGTATATTTGTTTGTGGGACGGAGGCTGACACAAGACAATTTATTAATTGTATTAATAATATATAAAAAGTGGTTTTCTTTGTTTCAGCTTCATTGCACTGATGAGTCCAGAAGATAGTTGGGTTGCAAAGTGGCAACGCATCAGTGAGTATTTCTAGCTTAATCTATTCAAATTTCTTGATTATTTCATGCTCTTTTTGACCTGCCATAATTAATAAGTAATGCACTCTTGGTGTCACTTGCAAGTAAAAACCAACTGCTGAAAATGCGGATTAGATTTATATACTACAGGTACTAGGTACTGTAATTCCATTTATGGCTATTTTTTAATGTCCCTTCAAATTTATCATATTTTATTAAACAAAAATTTCTTGAAACTTCAGTAACTGTATTTGATTTTCTTGATTGCACTTTTTATATTTATGCTTCTAGACAGTGACAGTGCAGTAAATTACCATTATTTGTTTTTGTTAACGAGTGCATTAGTTATGAGTTTACTTGATTCGTAGCATCAAAAGATAGTGATCAGGAGTACAAGTTAGGTTTAGCAACAGTGCATGCCCACTGTATAGTTTAATATTAACGAACCTCGTCAAATATATTATCTTTATTGTGTTCTTAGTTATATTTGCTTTTGACAGGATTTAGTCCTCTAACACTACTTTATCAAATTTGCAGTATTATGAACAGTATTTGCATACCTATTGGCATTATGTATAGTATAATCACTTTTGAACAGATTCATTTTGAACACCATCTGCTGGAGCCATGATTTCCATTGCACCCAATAATGTATATGCTATTTATACCATACAATGTTTTCAGTAGTTTCATTGGAACATGGTTTTCACACTTTTTAATACAAAAATCATTTGATAAAGTGTAATTTTAAATATTTTATTATCTGCATATTGTTTGTGGGGGGAGGGAGCATGGTATGGTCCAACATGGGTTCATTCCAGTGGAAGTGTTCTGTTACTCTGCATTTCAACTGAATATAATGATCATATGTTGACCAAACCACACACTAGAAAGTGAAGAGACGATGACGTTTTGGTCTGTCCTGGACCATTATCAAGTCAATTGTGATAATGATCCAGAACAGACACAATCAACTCTATAACGGTCCAGGACAGACTGAAACGTCGTTGTCTCTTCACTTTCTAGTTTGTGGTTTGGTCAAGATTTTTCAGCTACGTTATTGTGACTCTTCATCTGCATAATGATCATACTTCTGAACTGGACTCCTTCCATTTGAGTGGTAGCTCTTTCTACAGCTTGGCTTCATTTCTCTTATAAAGAGGTAATTTTAAGATATTTTCTAAGAAAGTGGGTTCTGTTTTAACAGTTTAATCTTTGCCAATAGATCGTTGCTCAAGGGGAATGTATGCCATCTCCATCACGGGCAGGCTGCCAGCAACAGTTGTACGAGAGATGAAGTCACGAGGAATTAAGTATAGGTCGAGAGACATGACAAAATTGTAAAGCAAGTTTGTTTTATGTTAAGATTACTTTCATATTTTCTTTACTCCTTATATTCCATTATAATATCAGGAGAAATGTGTTAACTTATGTTCTTAGGTGTTAATAAAGAAGTTTTTGACACCTTGTCTCTCTTTATCATGCTCACCGTGAACTGAAATGGAAAATCTGTGACTTTCTAGTACTGGTAGTGACTTGATATTTACAATTTCACCATAAATTTGTGTTTGTTGATCCGTTTTTGAGTGCATACCTGTAGGAGAAATAATGGCATAGAAAAGACTTGAATTTGAGAACAGTACTCAAGAATCATATCGCTTGACTACAGTATCATTTAATATCACTGAAGTCTGAAAAATTGATAAGTCTTACAGAAGACTGAGCACATGGAAAAAAGGACTAGATGGTGAAAAGTGTTCAAGAATTGTCATGATATGCCCAGAACAAGTGATGTACAACATTATGATGGAAACACAAAACACAAGCATTAATGTATTAGTATAGTAATGTGTCAACTATGGTCACAAGTGATAGGTCGAGACAAAATGGTTAATATTATGAGTTATATCTGGAGTAATTATTAATTTTTTGGGGAATGATATTTAGAAATGAACATTGATACAATGCTCCAGAAGGATAGTAGTCATCTGCAACAATGTACAGTATATAATGTGCTGCTTTCAGATTTGGAGTCTGTGAGATAGATAGTTAAGATTGATGCAGAAAATGTTTTGGCTACTAGTGAAGTTTATCAAGATTTAGAGACACTGTATTTGATGGTACATACAGTTACAGCATTCCAAGTAAGTTTGGTTTAAATACTCTATATATCAGTAGACTGACTCAAAAAGCAAAATAGTTTTAGTAAATAGTATAGGCCCTAATGTAGCACAAGAGTTATATTGTGAAAATCTCATGCTATATGACCTAGCTCAAGTTGAACATGTACTGAGCATTATTTCTAAATTCTGCTACTTCCTAGCTGCAAATATACAGTATTATTTAAAGTAGATACATACATACACTAATGATCTAGACAGGGTAAATATTATCTTTCCTTTCTCCATGGGGGCATCTTTTTGGAGCAAGGTAAGTTTCAACATTATGCCAAAATCTAATTTAATTAAATATATGAAAAACAAAGCAAATCTACTTTTAAGGTGCTTTGATTTAAGAATTTAATATGAATAGTATAAAATGCAACAAAAGTCTGTGCTATGTAATTTACACATCTGGCAACTTAAAATTTAGTTTTTTAAGGTTGGTTGTACTTTACTATGTTTGAACTGCACAAATAGAAGGCCTACAGAGAACTCATACTATAACAGATCAATTTGTTAGACCCAGCCTGTTGGTGATTTCACCTGGATGACAACTCTTCCAGGTGAACTTCCACTAGATCAAAACTTTATAATTTTCTGCTGCTCTACCCGAGTTTCCAACCCAATGTGGTTTGTTCATCTGAAAGCACTCGGAATGTACTCTCATAAATGGAGACCAAAAGTATTCAGATTTGTTCTGTATATGAAATAAACCTGAAAGTTAAGTTACAAATCTACAGTCAAATAACTTAAGGTATATGGCAGGAAGTGTAGCATAGACCTAGTAAAAAATAGAGGTGTCAAAAGCACTATTAGAGAACACTATGAATATTAAGAGGCTCACAACTATTTAACCATCCACCAGCAAATATAAAAAAATTTGCCAGTGTAGTTTGAAATTTTCAAGAGGAAATTAGACAAGTTCTTACTGGAAACAACAGATCAACTGGGCAATGATTGCTATTTGGACCAGGCTGTTGGAGCAGAACAACTCTCAAAAGCAGCCACAGGTAAGCGAAAGAGTTAAAACCAAAAGCAATCCTGCATTGTCAAACAAATGCACTATATTTGTAACAAAATAGGTGTGAGATCACCTGATTGTTTCAAGTAAATGTTAAACAGAAATCGGTGTGTTTGGACCTAACTAAAACTGTGAATAAACTGTTTATTGTGTTAAAAGACTAGCTCACAGGATGGGTATGAACTAAATTACAAATATTTCAACATAATTCAAAATTCTTTGAAATTCTTAATTTTATACTGAATATTACCTCGGTATTAAATGCTATATTTAATACAGTATAAAATTAATACAGTACTGTATAGTACTGAGGCATTGTTCGTTCAGTTGTAAAAGTTTCAAGCTAAGATAATTAACTAACAATCTAATATTAAATATAAATTTCATTACTTTTTGCTGACAAGTTCATGTATTCGTACAGCAGATGAAGCTGCATCAATTAATATTTAGTAAGAAATTTCAAAGACTACTAAACCGCCCCAAATAAAAGATTTACTTCGAATATATGGCAGTTAAGCTGCATTTAACTTCTAATTGAAATTTCTATCAGTCATGCTTCTCTTCCTGATGAGTTTCTTAATATGGAAAAAGCTTCAATACTGGCGGTATAAACCACTAATTAAATATAGTACAGTACTACAGTTTGAGCGATGAATGACTTGTTTAGCCAGAAAACACGTTGGATAATTATTACAGTACTGGAGATGTGATTAAAGAAGACAATGGTCTGTGGTTCCCATAATGGCTGTGTATAACAACGCTTGACGCGGATGGATGTGACAGCCCTTGACACGTGCATGTAACAGCCCTTGACACATGTGCGTGTGACAGTCCTTGACACATGTGCGTGTGACAGCCTTTGACACGTGTGTGACAGCCCTTGACCCATGTGCATGTGACAGCTCTTGACACATTTGTGTGCGACAGCCCTTGACACATGTGCGTGTGGCAACCCTTGACACATTTGTGTATGACAGCCCTTGACACATGTGCGTGTGGCAACCCTTGACACATGTGCGTGTGACAGCCCTTGACATGTGCGTGTGACAACCGGTGACGGGTGTGCGTGTGACAGCCCTTGACACAGGTGGGTACGACAGCCCCTGACACGGAACACGGGGTGGGTGCGGGCCCCGGGAGGCGACGAGCGAGGAGTCTGCCTCAGACTGTCAGTCGACGACCGGACGAGGCGGTGAGAGGACGTGTATAACACCACCACAATCAGGTAAGACACTCTTCAACTGTTGCCATAATTGCTCATCTGCAATAACATGTACTCAGAGTGTAATTTTGAAGTTTATTACCTTTTTTTTTAGGGAGCGATTTAGTATAATGTTATATGCAGCTCAATACCCGGCATATTTTGTGTAGATGTATATATTTGGGCCTTTATTTATTTATTTACTAATGTTTAAGTAAGATTTATTGTGTGATGATTTTTATGTAATAGAAGGATGTATTCAGAAAGATCTTGGGGCATATGTGCATGTTCTTCGTACAAAAGACGCTAATGATGAACATTGATTTTTTTTGTCATCATTTATACTAATAAAAATATACAACAAATGTAGTCCTAGATTTTGTGGATGGGTCAATAACGGATTTACATTATGGTTTTCGTTCATCACATAAAGCAAATATCGAAGGTCGGTGTCTTCTGCTTGAACATTTATTTTAACTATATAATGTGGATCTCGAATTTATGAATGTTATATTCATAAATTCATATTTGTGGTCAGCAACTGCATGGGTGAGCAAGCAGACAACTTAGCCTCCGGCCCATATTGGACCTAGTTTTTTTTTTTAGGGATATTTCTGTGCGGGGCCCTAAGCCTCTGGCTGGCCCACTAAGTGTTGCTTGTTTCTGTTTTACTTGGGCGGAGTATGAGTATTTGACTCGTATGGTCGCTTCAGTGAGATTTTGTCCCACGTGTTTAACAACTTCTGCTCTGTTGAATCTAAGTTGAAATCTTAATGGGTTTGAAACTCTGCACTGTGTTAGATAATGTTCTAGTGGTCTGTTGGACATTTCCTCTAATCTTCCGGAACCTGTAAGCTTATTTCCCATGCACATGGGTATCCAAGCCTGATGCGATGTAAGTGTACTTCTGTTGCTCTACTGCTCCCTTTCATCAAACCAAGTGGTTCGTAGTTGGTTGAATTTTTGTGCCAACCCGCAGATCCTGATGTTGCAACTGTGTTGTGATCACTGTACATCTTTTGCATTGCTGTTTCTAATTACTTTCTTAATTTGTGATAGACTCTGTGGTATGTAAATGTCTACATTTCTTCTCTTAGTTGCAAGTTTTACAGCTTCGTCTGCAATGTCATTTCCTATTATTCCCACATGACTTGGCACCCAGTTGATAAGTACTTGTCGGCCTTGTCGTTTGAGTGTTAATGATATGACATTTATGATTAGATGAATGTTATCACATGTGTGTTCTTGTTGCAAGGTTTCAATGGCAGTTCTCGAATCTGTATGTATGATAACATGTCTGTGTTCAGCAAGAGCATGTTCCAAAGCCTTTTGAATATGCAAGCATCTCTGTAAAGTCGAACACCCATTTGAGAGTCTCCAACTATTTACAGAGTTTCCTGCTTTAACTGCAGCTCCGGTTTCTTGTCCCTGCTGGTCTACTGATCCGTTTGCGAAGTAAGTGAAGCTGTCAGATGCCAAGTTTGCTTCTATATGCATCTGTGCAATATTACGTAGCAGATGAGGATTTGTCTGGTTATTTTTTCCTTTAAGAACCATAATCTTAAAGTCTGCTGGCGGAGGTTCCCAAGGGGCTTGCATAACAAAGTCTGCATGTATTTCGTCGACTGTAAAACATTCTTAACACTTTGTGTCCTGCTCCTAGACGAGGCCCTGTGATTGCTCACATTATATTTAATCTTGATTTTGCTTTCTCCTTCAGATATTGAATTTGCTTGTTGAATGTCATTTTAAAATCTATCCACAGTTCTCGCACTTGCTTACAGTCAATATTGGCTTATATAATAAGTGCATATGTGACATACTAATTGATTGTGAATATTTTAGTTTACCTTGAAAAGCTTCATAGAAAACACCGACCTTACCTAACCTAATTAGTATGTTAAGATAAGCATCTTATTGCTTCATATTTACAATTATTACTTAACCTATCAACGGTATAGGTTAAGTAATAATTGTAATTAAGAAGCAATAAGATGCTTATCTTAACATACTAAGAAGGTTAGGTGAGGTCGGTGTTTTCTATGAAGCTTTTCAAGGTAAACTAAAATATTCACAATCAATTAGTATGTCATATATGCACTTATTAAATAAGCCAATATTGACTCTAAGCAAGTGCGAGAACGGGTTGCCACACTCGGATATTGATATTATGTAACCCACTGAAGGTTAATGTCTTGAATGCGTAGGTGCCTGTCTGGAGTGTTGCCGCCTAGTCTCATTGCCTTAGACTTCTGTGCAGATATTTTTAGCTCTAAAACGCTGCATTCAGATGTTACTTTATCTAATGCACCTTGTGCTTTATTTAGTAGTGAAGGACCTGTAATGACTAATGCTATATTATCAGCATAGCAATTTAACCCATTATGCAAATGTCATGGTAAGGAGGGTTTTCCATAAGGATGTTAAAAAGACTAGGACTGAGGACTCCTCCTTGTGGAGTCCCATTCTCCTGCATCACGGGCTCACCATAGCCCGTGCTACTTGGAACTTTTAGTTCCCAGTAGCTGAATCTTAAACAACAACAACAACCAAGTTCATCTAGCAGTAAAATTGGTACCGGGAATTATGCAACTGAACAAATTATGTTCAACTAAATTATGCAATTAAGGGAATTATGCAACTATTGTGGATTGCATCCTAGGGAAGGTCGGCAAATAACTGGCCTAGGCAAGGGGGACCTCGTTATGAGTATATGTAAAGGTTCTTGTCGCTGGGAATTAAATTTAAATCAGCAGGTGGTAAAAAATTTTAAATATATAATTACAGTCGCCAGACAGTAGTAGCATAATTAAAGAGTCAACTGACCTTGTTGGATGAGCCTTAAGTATTGTATGCTGCTTCTCTTGCATTGCGGTTTAGTCAGGTTTGGTGAATTATTGTTCTATGGCTGCTTATCGACAGTCTCCGGTTATAATTATAATTGAAAGTGAGTGTATACTTTGGCTAACTGTTCCAGCGTAGATTAGGAGCCCAATATAGGGTGGAAATTCTTTGAATCTTATATATTAAATAATCATATTCCACCATTAATAATTTTGTCAATAGTTCACAAAGCCGATGTTTATTTATTCGCTATTAAACAAACGGTAAAAGGAATAGGATTACGCCCACAGGTCAAGAAGGATGAGAGTTGGCTACGTAATCACCCATATTGGGGAGATGGGCCAGTAAGGGTTCATATACCTACGCCCACCATGTAACGGCCCCTTCCTATACTGGTTCAGGAGTGTTCAAACGGTACATACATTGTTGTTAAGCGTGTTGTAAATATATTTTGTCTCAAGAAAATTCTAGGTGACTGAAGTGGCTCCTAACTTTACATTCGTGAAACAAATAGGATTATTTGTGCCATGTATATCTATCAACGAGAAGAATAATGCTAAAAAAATCCTTCACACATTGCTTGAACTCTAGGTTGGAAGATACCTCTGATAACTTTGGGTTAATGTCACCGATAGAGAGGTGTATGATAACCCAAGGGACTTAAGTGGTTATATGACCATTGGACTCCGCTATTTGGATACAGGGCCATGGATTTCTAATAAGTTGATCGAGGCCCATAGAACTCCTTTGGATTCATGAGCTATTTTTGTGTATATGCTACGCTGCACTATTTCGATACACGGAAATGTAACGCACTGTCTAACTTGTGCTTTCGACCTGAATACAGTAAATATAATGATGACCAGACAATATAATTATCAAAAGAAAGCGTTAAGTCAAGAAAGCTATATAGCAGCTTCGATGTTACAAAGTAATAAAGACTTAGATATTATGCAGGACAACGGTTCAAGAGCCGGAAGACGCGTGTTTTTGAACACTAAAAAATTGAACAGTCTCGCCTATTAATACTGCGCATTATTACCGAAAAAAGGTTTTGGTGAGTAGTGTCAGCGGTTTCTCTTACTGCATTTATAATATATTGTTATATATTGGTTTCCAGTTAGGGCAACGTCCTTTGAGTGAGACGATCAGTTCATTCTGGAGTCATTATCTGACTGCATAAAAATTTATATTTCCCTTTTTTTCTGAATACTTTTTTATTCATTTTGGTGGGACAATGTAGTATGTTAAACGAGGCTATATAAATTAGACGTAATTAGAAACCCCCCTCTTAACCTTCCACATTCCTCGCCGGTCTCAAGCCACCACCACAACACCCTCCACTCAGATAGGCTATAAACCATATTTATGGTCACAAAATTGGACTGAATATCCTCCGCACACACAAAACGGCATGATGATCGTTCATTAACTGGTGAAGTCGTAAACTGTTTTTCGTCTGTTTCATAAATGTTGAGAATAAGATAATGATTTTCTTCATAAGAATGTGCGTACAAAAAACATAAGGAGACGATTTTAAGTACAAGGGGTTACACAAAAATGAAGCCACTACTACGAAGTGTTTCGGGTAAAACTTTATATTTAGACAAAAAATTGTTTATAGGTATAAAGAGGTAAACGCTTGACACTAAAAGAGAAGTAAGCTAACAAATGAGCGTTCAAGAAATGTAACAAATTATATGCAATATGAAGGTGATACTTAATGCATGATGACAGACATATAAACGAATACATTATGGAATCAGTAGTTCTAGACACAGATCTAAATCATAATTTTATAATTTGCATTTAAATCTTCAACATTGTTGCTCATTAGTTGTGCATATCAAATTGAATGCATACTTATGCCACGATTATTTTGTTGTCCCCTAACTTCCCTTGCCACTTCGGGGGAGGGGGGTATAGGTTTTTGATGTAGCTTCAGGGCACCAATCCCCCCCAGCCACTGGGCATGATGAGAAATATATATCTTTTGAGGTTTTCTTTTAAGCGCTGATCATTCCAGCGTTGTGAAGAACGTCACAGTTGTAGGTAGAGGGACGAATATCCTGTACTTCCTTCATTTCCTCGCCTTCCATGGTAACAAATGTGTGTAGGAAACGGCTTTATGACCGAAGGTTAAGGTAGAATACTATCCTTTCATCTTTATAGCACGAAAA